CGTGAGTGTATTTCTAATTCTTTAGGTTTACTAACACCTCTTTTGTGTATTTTACGGGGGGAGGCAAGTTCAGACAGATTTGATGATAAGGCCACAGATACATCTTTAGTTGGAGAAACAGCATTTCCTACTGATGGCATCCTATACCTGAAAACAGAGGTAAAATCAATAAAAATAAATCAATGCAAATTACTGAGCATAAAAACAGCTCAGAGACTGAATGATATACAATTTTAGAAACTTCTCACCCAGATAGCAGAGCAAAATTTATATAAATAAATGTTCAATCATAATAATTCATTCAATATTTTAGTAAGTTTTGAGTAACTTTTGGTGCTGTTCTTAACTCAAAAATAAGACATGTACAAAGTTAATGATGAAGATGACAGTTTTAACAACCTAGTTTTGGCTGGAGATGAAAACTTCGAGAGTTTGGGTACATTAATGAGGATCATGAGAGATTTACCATTTCTTTTAAGATCCTAAAGGAATTCACCACTATTGCAGTCTGCAAAAAGTATTAAAATATCTTTACCAGAACTAAAATATTGTTGAAAATCTCTTACAGATAAGAAAGGTTTACTGTAAGAGATGGAGGTATTTTAGAAGATCCTTTTGTCTTTGCTACAATTTTTTTGCTACAAGGGTCTTTCTGAAAAGTGAATTCTGTGTGAAAAACCAGAACTGACCTAGTGCCAATAACAGTTGATCCACCAGGTGCCATTGGATAGCCTTTCTTGTTGGTGTTGTCATCTGTTGTCTACAGCATATCAAAGTATCAAAACTCGTGATTTAAAATGCACAATTGAGCAAGCAATGATTAACCTTTTCCTCTTGCATTTCCCCAATACATGAATATTATTTCTCCAATCTCAGATTTCGCTCCTTGTCTAGTCTCTGTTTGTAATTAGCAAGGGTCCAAGAGTACCAGACTTTATTTAACATAGCCCTGGAGGGGAGGGGGGGGACTCAATGAGGCATGCAACTACCCAACCACAATAAGTTGGTGACTCTATTTGGAGCAATGATGATATCTATGAATTATATTAATTTACCAGTTGAATTATATTAATTTACCAGTTGTCTCCTGTTATGTAAATTTTCCACAGGTTGACCCACTGATTGATGATGTATTAATCTTTCAGAGGTGCTTGTCCTGAAATTTAAGAAAGGGTATAAGATTAAAAAAGAAAATGGTCAGCATCTTTAAAATTTACTCACTGCAAAAATGTAAAAGCTACCAGTCAATTAATTTACATCTGCTTTGGGGAAAACTGGACTATTATAACATAGCACACGTGCTTGCCCTATATAAATCCTGTTGAGCCGCTATGAACAAAATCTTTATTTACGCTGCCTGTGCATAAATAAGATGACGAGAGCATTTGTTAGTGACACTTTATGACATTTGGGTTTGATTTTCTCCATTTTCCCCTCAAACTTGAGCTTTTCAGCCACAGTTATTGGTTAACTGGATTAAATGTTCTCACTCAAACCAAAGTATAAAATGTGGTGTGTTTTTGACCAGCCAATAAGGACATTTGTTTACTTTTTTTTGTGTGTGTTGTGAGAATTTTGCACTCTATCACAATAAAAGGCTTCTTTACACAGATCCTTGTTGTTTCTCTGTTATAAAAGAATTTTCTCATGCTTTTAGCTGTGCATATATTGAGTTATTGATGCACTTGAGAAGTTTGGAGAGCACTCAAAAAGCTAGAGTTGCTCTCAGCTGCACCTCAAGCTACTCTTACGCATTTTACGTGCTCTCCAAACTTCCCATGTGCATCTATTATTAAACTCTATATACGCATGCTAAGCATGAACAAATTCTTAAATTTTTACCCTTTGGTTATTGCAGTCAATTTCCGTTATTAACAATCTGACCAATTTTATTTGTCTGTATACATGTAGCTAATAACCTCTTAGCATTTTCTGTCTCCTCTCACTTACATGTGAAATCCCATTGCTGGTAGGTGTGAGACTCGACTTGAGGTCTGGTCAATTAAAAAAAGGATATAAAATAAACATTTGAAAGAACAAACTTACAGGAGTACTTTTTCAGTTGGCAAGGTGACATAATGATTGAAAAAAGAAAGCAATATTCACAAGATACTTTCCTCCAAGTGCAAGACAATGTTTTTGTTAAAGAGGGAATGGTGTACAGTAACCAAAAAGTACATCTCACACCACTGAAATTTAGCCACAAAAGTCTGGGTAGTAGCCAGAAAATTCTTCAGTTGGGGATGATACTGAAAACATTTAAGTCTTATTGCAACTATAATGTTACAGTAATGATTGTTGCAACTTACAGCAAGGCGAGGGTTAAGCCCTTGAGGGAACCAACCATGTTCAGCATTTTTAAATTCACAATCAAGCTGTAACTGTTTCATTTTCAACTCACTCGATCCACTATTAAAAAGAAAAAGATCTATTAAAAGAATATCAAACAAACTGAAAGTAAAATTGTTACACCTTTGTACCATATCTTAAGAACAAGTAAAAGCTCAAGCAACTTTCTTTCAAAAGTTGTGCTTGAGTCATACTTATAAGGTGGCATTATAATGTGGACAAAGGACACTTATTTGAGAACAGCCAAGAATTTGCAAAATCACAAAGTTTGTTTCCAGGATAGAGGCTGTATTCTGAAGAAATTTATTGTTATTCAGCATGGATTGACACATTTCACAGTATATTCACAAAACCATGCCTGCTTTGAAACAAAGTGAATGTTTTTTTGTGATTTACAACATTATGAGCCAAATTATCAATGACGCTGTCATTCCAAAGGTAATGACCAGTGATATTCAAAGATACCTAATGGTTACTCGTTCTAGACTGACCTTTCAATTCCTCCATTAGAACTGAGTCCCTTTTCAAAAAGAAAAGATATTCAATTATTAATTATGTTGAACTTAACCAAAGCAGTAACAGATATCATCATAACTGTCTTAATATCTATCTCACCTAAAATTCCAACAACAACCTAAATCTCCATTTTGAAATGAGTACCTAGAGTTAAGCTCATTCCTTGAATACCAACAGTGTTCTTTCATGCGAGATTTATTCATAATTTTTAAAATGCTGGAATACTGACATTTAAACAAGCTGACTCAATAGACATTCAATTGCAAAGTTTCATCATTGTGTGATTGTTTTTCCAAATGTGAAGCAAATTAATGCAGATACAAAGTAATAGCAATAATTGCCAGATATAATGTAAACAATTTTTTTGCTTTTTGCACTAACTTTATTCCCTTTTAAGAAACCATCATGAAAACTTTTTCCTGCACTAAGGGCAGTAATATTAGTTGACCCTTCAACTAACCTAGAGGTGATTAACACATAACTTCTCCCTATAAAATCTACACATTATCCAGCAAACAGGTAATGAGAATACTCAAACTTATCAGGTAGAATTCAATACCCTGATTGATCACTAAATTCTTGTAACCAATTTACAAGGTAATGCAGCTAAATGGGAGAATTCACAATCAGATCTTGGGAGTGAGAGGGTTAACAAAGAGTTGATTGTTGTGTTTTTCCACAATTGTGAACTTTTCTATTCTTATGTCAGCTTGGTTTCTCAAGTAATGATGCCATGATAGTCCTCTTGGCCAAGTAAACCAGCTTCTGTTAGTAAACTACACTGTAGGCTCACACATTTGGTGACTTCGCGGTATAAATGCCAGCACACCCAACAACCTTACACCCTAAAAACCCATCTCTTATTTAAGCGGATACAACTTCTGCTTCAAAGGTAATGTCTGCCTTATAATACTGTTTTTTACATTTGTTAGACTCAATCTGTTGAAAAGATCATATTTTCTGCCCAAGTATCCAGATTTGCTAATGCAAGCAAGACGCTTTCAACATAAATTTTCTACATGACTGCAATTTTCCTAACAAGATTCGCTCTCGGTTTAGAATTTCTTCATTTCATGAACTACAGCATGGGCATGAAGAAATTTATTTCCACGGCGTCTGAAATCGGACAGTATGGCACCTCTCCGAAAGTAATTAAACTTATGATCAAATATTCTGTTACCTTAACACAAACAAATCACAAATTCGCGTCACGCCAAATCAAAATAATTCGATCTATTGAAATCAGCCTACCTACATCGCCTTGAAATTAGGAATGACAGATAAGATTGAGACAATTCCGTAATATCTCCTTTCGTTAGCTTAAGTTTATCCACACAGAAATTCCACTTTCCAAATATTTATAATTAGTTTCAAAATAAACACGGCATGCCTTCATGAAATATCAACAAAGAGCGTATTCATCTCTTAAACAAACTAAGCATGCAGGAAATGGATTACTTAGAGATAAGTGTTGTGCGCGATTTTTCTTTAGTAACAACTAATTCACTTGCCTGGTCATTGCCTTTTTCTGATCCTTTACCATTTGGAGAAGTTTTCCCCGATCTCCTGCTGACGAGCGAGGTAAAGGAACCCTCGGAAATGAGCGGTAAACTCGGACAGTTTCTTTCTTCGTCCTTTGCCTTTGAGTTGTTTAAAATTCTAATTCCATGAACACCATTTAAACCGTGAATGGGACTTGAACCAATTCTGAATTGTCCATTTGTTATCGATGGAAGCATTTTCGTATGTTTCGCAGCGTCTTCTATAAGTGACTGACCGGGTGCACAGGTCAGGTACAAGATCAGTGGTTCTCGTAAGTTCCATGGAAACGTGTTCAGGGCGCCAGCAGAACAATCGACATCGCTGAACGATTACCAACCGAAAAATTCAGCTGACTGAAAATACTGCTATTCTAACTCTACGAATGGATTTACGGAATAATGTTTCGTTTTTAAATCTGTTCCTCCCATTCTGACCACAAAACAGCAATGAGCATATCACTGACAGCTCTACGTGATGAATAAGGATATCATCCGCGACGATATTGTTACAATCGGGGGAGGTGAGGGGACGTAAAAATTTCGAGCACCTTGCTCCTAGCTCTCTACATATTCTGTATTTAAATATTCTTAAGATTCTTTACGTGTCTTATTGCAGCGTAGAATTATTTCACTATGTTTGACGCTAAATGAAACTTGAATTGGGAAATGTTCTAAAATTTCTTAGGGTCAGCTGGGCTGAGTGGCCATAGACCTTAAAAAAAATATAACAATACATGTTACAATTTGAGGTACTCGTCTGGAAAGCGTTATTCGTGTATCTCTAATTAGGGGGCTGTGTTCTCTTTTCATTTGTATCATTTGTAGCGTTGTAACTCTTTAAAATGTCCAGTGAATACTGCATTCCAGACCTGATCGCTAAAAAGAGGGATGGCGATGAACTAAGCGAGGAAGAGATACATCATTTCGTGAAGGCTTCTTACTCGTCGAATGGTGCGTCTGAGAGCCAGATCGGCGCGATGCTCATGGCTATGTATTTAAAGGGACTGAACCGGGAAGAAACGGTAAGCCTTACGAAAGCGATGCTTTCGTCGGGCAGTTCTCTGACGTGGCCTGAAGAGTGGCAAGGAAGTGTGGCAGATAAGCATTCAACAGGAGGAGTGGGGGATAAAGTGAGTTTAGCGCTCGCACCCGCGTTGGCTGTGTGTGGAGTGAAGGTGCCGATGATTTCTGGTCGAGGCCTTGGTCATACTGGTATGCTATACTCTCTATTTAATTGGAAATGATGTTTTAACTTTAGAATACATCACGGTAGACTTCATCCACGTTTGTTTTTGTTTACATCTAATTGAAGATAAAACCTCCAACTGCAAACAAACCACTCATTATATCCGAACGCCATCAACGCATCAGCGATTTGTACATATACTAAAGGTTAATTCCCACCTTCGCGGGTATCCTTCGCTAAAAAATTTGTACGCGCGCTAGTTTCACTAAAATCCTAGCAAACTATATATCAAAAGAAAACTTAATAACTTCAGATTACGATAAAAATATAATTTAAGCGATTTTCCTCTTAAGGAAGTTTCAGAAGCCGGTAAAGCGTGAAACGATCGAAGGTTCTACGATAGCGGATAGCGCAGCACGTGCAAAATGATTACAGTCTTATTCACAAGGCATCAATCAACGTAAACGTGTCTGACTCTTTTTGTTATGCGTGTTGCGTAAATGGAAACCCCGGGACGAATAATTTCCCGACACACTTTCATTTGTCGTAATTCCCGGAATGTTTTGGCGAAATTTGACGAAAATCGGCCAAATTTATATACTCTATAATTTCGCCCAAAGTGGTTGTATTCCCCCCAAAATCAAATACGAGATTTCAGGTCATACAGTTTCGCAAACAACTTGCGCAACGCCAGAAGATTATTATCTGGCCTCCTAAAAACCGCAAACCAATCGGACAACGAGACCTCCTGGCGTCAATGAAGATGATCAAGATTTCCCGGGAGAGTATCCCATTGCAAACACGTTTTACTTTTCAGTGGAGCGTTGAGAAGGACGATACAATTATGGGCAAAGTTGTTAAAGGCGAAGGCAAAACCCACGGCAAAAATGGAAAAAGCCGCGAAATGTGCTGAGAAGTAAGACAAAGAATCGACAGGCAGCTTTCAAAATTACGATTCGAGGCGATTGATAATGTTTTTGTATCAAGGCTGATTCTTGTTTAATAAAAAAGGGAAACCTCGTTTTTAACATAATGTGTGGCAAATTTTGATTTGACGGTGACTTCTTAGTTCGAAATCTGGACGCCAGCGTGGAGCTACGCCAGTACTAGTCGCTTTCACAAAGGAATTTTTTTCTTTTCT